CCTGCAGCCCAGGCCCCTTGTGGGGTCCTGGCCTGCAAGACGGTCACTTGTGTTGCAACGTCTTGATTTTTGTTGGGGTTCTAGAGTGATAAATGTTCAAAGATACAACATTCTGAGCTACACCCTCTGAAGAAGTCAGCAGTGACTCAGGAAAGCCCTTCCCCTGCCACAAATGTGGTTAGTCTTTGAGGTGCTCCTGGACTCTTGCTCTTTTCTACTGCTACAGACATGGAAGGGACCACATTTAGCAGTACAGAATGGAAATCCATCAGCTTTGGTATCGGAAGATATGAGCATTGACTCAGGAAGGCTCCTCCCCTGCCACAAATGCTGTTAGTCTTGAAGGCGCTACCGGACTCTTGCTCGTTTCTGCTGCTACAGCCGGACTAGCGTGGCCAACTATCTTGATCTACCCTCTTAAGGAAGATAACTAAAAAGCAACACCCATGAGTTCTGCACCATTTCAAACAAAACACTGGGACCCACAAAATCTCGGCAGAAATTGGGATGCCATCCCTCCTGCCTGGTGATGCCTCCAGGCACTGTCTGGGCTTTCCATCTCCGATACTCAGCAGTGTGGAGGGGAAAAAAATCAAGGGCTTATTTATAGAGTATTCCTGCACCACCTCTTCAGGATCCTGTTCGAGGCAGCTTACAATTATAAACCATAATATTAAAAAAGAGCCACTAAGAGGCAAGTAATTTGATAGTAATGGGAGAACTCTCCTTCCTTAAGAGTTTCAGCTTCTGTTTAAAATACAAATGGCCCTTTTGACTACACAGATAAAGGCGAAGGTGGGCGCAGAGTTTAAGGGAATCTCAGAAAGCAGAGGAATTCTAAGGCTGAGGCCAAGTAATGGAGCCTCAGGGCTGTTCAGAAATAGACTGATTTTATGTTAGCCGCCCTGAGCTGGCCTTGGGTGGGAGGGCGGGGTATAGATTTGAGAAATAAATAATAAATAATAAATTCTTGCCCTCCCTGCAGCTAGAGATATGCAAAACAAATTGCCCCAAATAAACAAATATATACAAATGTACTTAATCTGAATCATTTATTTGGGTACTTGGATTCCGGATTTTACTGCTACCAAGCCTGGTTTTTTAGCCTAAACCCGTTCCGCATCACACCACTGGGCAGGTCTGCAAAGGCTACTTAGGGCGCTTCACAAGAGGGCTGCTGACTCGGTCCTCATTTGAGGCTTGCAAGTCTGGTGGGCGCAGAACACCAGCGGATGGCACCATAGCTCCCCTCTGATGGCCCCCACGCACCATCCCCCTTCAAACCGGGACACGATCTACGCACTTGATTCGCAGCCGAGTGGTCCGTCACGGGCGCCAACTGGACATACTGGACTTGGATATCACTCCCTTGGAGCGGCGATCCGTCAACGCCACCAGCTGCAGGGTCGGAGGATGCGACGGCAATCAACTGAGCACCCTGTAGCACCTGCAGGGAAACCAACAGAGAGAGTATCCTGTGAGCAGACGTCATCACAGGTGCGTTGCAAAACATCTGCTAACGCCAGCAGCAGGCTCGAGACCAGAAAAGTTCCACTGATCCTTCAGTCAATAATAATAATTCAGACCACAAGAGCTGCCAGGAAACAACAGTGTCCTTGTCTGATAGACAATTAATCCCTAACGAAAAATAAATCTTTCCAAGAGGCATTTAATAGCCCATAGTCTAGAACCATTTCATATTTTATGGAAATGTCTTCATTTCACTGTTGCATATTATTGGCATTGACAATGGAATCATAATTATGTCAATTTTGCCTTTGGTACGTACCAAGGAAAACAATCATTTGTGAACTGTTGGTTCTTTGTTGGGTCTACGTTGCCATTTTGAATACTGCTTCAGTGTCAGTTTGACACTGTTGTTTAAAGCATTTCGCTTTTATCTGCACGATTGCGAAGTATGCAAAAGAAGCCGCAAACCTTTTAAAGGCCGCACAAAACCAACTTCTCTCAAACAGCTGCTCAGTTCCCGGTTTGCCATGAGGAGGATATGGTTTCCCATGATTGCCACTGTGGGAACTCCACCAGCTTTAGGCCAATTACACTCGGTCACTCCGGTTTAATAAATGTGTAGCTCTTGTTCCTACTGACAAACTATTTCACACAATCCATTTATTTCATGCACTCGATAAAGGACAGGATGGGTCAAAAGAAGTGTTGTGCGAATTAGTCCCAAGAAGAGTTTTGAAGCAAGAGGGAAGATCACAGGTTCCAATTTATTTATTTATTGCATTTATATCCCGCCCTCCCCTTGATTGATTGATTGATTGTGTTTATATCCCCGTCCTCCAACAATAAAATACAATACAATTAAAACATTTTAAAACACAACTTACATTTAAAAATACAACATGACACCGCACAATACAACTCTAGTAAAAACCAGATGCTGGTTTAATGATTTCAGTTTCTGTTCGGAGAACTTTAAAATTTAGGATCTCAAAGGACCCAGGCTACTGATGGAGGTAACCCAGGGAGGAAGGGGGACGCCCGCTGCTTCAACCTAAGGCCCGGCGGAAGAGCTCTGTCTCGCAGACCCTGCGGAAATGTAGTAAATCCCGCAGGGCCCTGATCTCACACAGGAGTTTGTTCCACCAGGCAGGGCCCAGGGCCGAAAAGACCCTAGCCCTGGTCGAGGCAAGTCGGATATCCCTGGGGCCGGGCACCACCAGAAAGTGTTGGTTGGTGGACCTCCGTGCTCATATGGGGAGAATACTTTAATGAGTTCACAATCCTCCTCCTAAACCCTTTGTTCACGTCAGTCCAGCTCCTTTGATTTCAGGAAAGTTTTGTTCTCAAACTGCTACCGCTCATGTGAAAATGATAAGGCATCCTCTTTTCAAAAATGTGCTGATCTATTATATTAAATCACAGTTCAAGAAGTGATGGAATGTGACCTTTACACAGGTCAGCCTAGCCCATTTCTAAAATAGGACCTTCCTTCCTCTTCCCTCACCAGAGTTGCACAATATCTCAATGAATCTCAGAGGGGGGAAAGAAAGGAAAAAAACCCACAAACCTCTCACACAAAACCTTTTGTTTCCAAGTTCTAAAAATCTCGGTCCAGGCCCTGAAATAAGTGAACGTTCGAAGCCATCTGGGTAAACAGGCGTCATGGCGCAGGGCTGGCGTTTCAGAAAACAGCTTCACAATTTTTCCATTGACAGCAGCTCTGCGGGTAGGTGCTGTGATTCTATCAGTTCAGCGGTTTATTCAAATCCCCAAACCTCAGAGGGTTATTAAACAAGGAAAGGGAGATTCGGTTTCGTTTGGCAATTAAAAAAAAAAGAGGGAGCAAGAATCTACTAAATACTGTGAAAACCTCCCGAGACACCCGGCTCCCAGAACCTCCATTCCTAGGATTTGTAACAGGGAAGGGATCAAATTAATCTTCCCTAACTGATCCATAGAAGGAAAACAGATGAGAGGGATCTGGGGTTATAAGTGAGGGAGTAAACTCTCCATCAACGTATCAGTTAACCCTGCGGGGTTTATAGGATTTGGAAGAGAAACCTGTTCTTTCAAGAAAGGAGTACTCAATCATTTCCAAGGGGCTTTGGGACCATGTAAAACCCTCCAATTCAGCCGCACTCCTCTTTGGACATTTGTTCAAGCTGGACTCTTCTCTCACTGGTTAAATATTCTGCTTACAGTACAAACACCGGGCTTGCTTGGAAGTAAACGGCAAACGTAACAAGTGGGATGCTGAGAAGGATGTGTGCCCCGTGCCCCACCTTGCATAAAATATGCTATGTATTGCTGTGGATTTTTTTTTTTTAAATAGTCCTTCACAGTTTAAGAGACTAAGAGAGCGAGCAAGGAAGGAATCAAATGGCCCCTGGACTGATGGAGACGCTTCTTAATTAAACAGCCTGCGATGCAGTTGTGCGGGACAAGTTCAGAGTGTACAGATTAGAATCTAATTTATTTTACAGCTTCTATTCAAAGCTACTGTGCTGCCTAAGAAATTATGACTCAACCAGATAAGAACACTGGTGGAAAACAGAGACCTTCCCCTCCACCCAACTCATCCTTCTACTGCTAAAGAAAAGTAAGCCAATATAGCACTGCGGTATATTATTGTTAAATATGCTGGGCCAACGCATGGGTCAATCTAGACTTGGTCACAGCTCGGTACCTCTGAATCCTCTCCAGTTGGCTAGCAGCTTTCTTTTTCTGTTATCAAATGACAAAGGAGGCCTGCCGTCAAGTCCAAAAGCATCACCAGCCAACCAATCAACCCGTCTTCAGCCGACAATGCAAATAGCCCCTGAAGCCCGTAAAGGGGCACATCTGACATGTCTCCATTTCATTTCGCATCAGCGCTACGGAGACCCTTTAGCAATGCACTTTTTACAAGCAATAAAATATTGCCACAGCTGTGCTGAATCCCCAACTCTTTTAAATATTTCTTTCACGGGGTATTAGATGCTGGCAGGCCACCTTCAAAGAACAACCACAGAGTAGACAGTGTGAGAGGTGTACCAGGGGACGTATGCAGGGAAGTTACTTTGAATTTGTCCAGGGATTTCTTCTTCAGAGCTAAGCTAAACAGAGAGGGATAGCATTTCCGCCATTTTACTTGCTAGGGTAAGAGTGCTAACAAAACTCAACCAACAAAAGCTATGGAGCAGCTCTCATCTTTTGTATGTAAGTGCTATCAAGTCGTAACCGACGTAGGGTAACCCCAGCAAGGGGTTTTCATGACTGAGAAGCAGAGGTGGTTTGCCATTGCTGAGCCTTCCTTGGCAGCCTGCCACCCAAATACCAACCCTGCTTAGCCAGTTTGGTGTAGTGGTTAGGACTGTGGACCAATGCTCCCTCAAAGCTGTGGAGTCTTGTGAGCAAAAATTCTACCCTTTGAGTTACTGGCATGAAAGCTGTGAGCGAGCGATTGGGCTCCTGCATACATTAGTTTGCTCTGGAGCCATCCTTCCTGAGGTAAGACAAAAATGTGTCAGCTGGAGGCTAAAAAACTGTGAGCTATCTCACACTAACTCATATTAGAGGGAACACTGGTGTGGACTCTAATCTGGGATTAGAGACATGCAGCTGCTGGTGTGACCTTGGGTCAGTCACAAGTTCTTTCAGAGCTCTTCTCTCACAAGCAGTCCTCAAAGGAGCTCTCTCAGCCCCACCTACCTCACAGGGTGTCTGTTGTGGGGAGGGGAAGGGAAAGGAGATTGTAAGCCGCTCTCAGACTCCTTTGTGTAATGAAGGGTGGGGGTATAACTCCAATCTCTTCTTCTAAGATTTGATGCGATTGGGTTACACCACAGATCCCAACAATTTCTGGACCTGTGTAGCACACAAGACGTGTTTAATACCCTTGTCTCATCCTTCCTAACTCTCAGCTAGGCCACACTGTAAGAAAGTGTGTAAGTAGCCAGCCATTTCTTAAGGCGGACAAGCAGGGTCAGTCCAAGGCACCCGGCCATACCCAATGTCCCATCTGAGATGCATAACCAAGATCCTTTGCAGTATCCCACTGTGCCTGTATTCAGCTATAATGTTTGGGTTGCGTGCAACTGTGGTTAGTTGGTATCTTCTGTGACCCTCACGGGTCACAGAAGATACCAACTAACCACAGTTGCACGCAACCCAAACATTATAGCTGAATACAGGCACAGTGGGATACTGCAAAGGGTCTTGGGACACAGCTTTCCCACTGCGTCATGATTCACTGGTGACCTAGATGCCGCTGCCCCAAGCAGTCGGGAAGCTCTGGGTGCAGAAGCCCAGATGAACACACAGCGCTGAGTGCCCACAAAGCCTTCCCCTCTTTAATCCCAATGGAAGATGCAGATTTCTGTCGGCCTCCCCAAGTGTGTTCACAGTGGCTCCTTCTGTGGAAATGAACGACGCAACCCTGGTGCATGAGATCTCAGGCGCAGGGTAAAAGAGCGGGGGACTCTAGGACCAGAGAGGGAACGTCTGTGTACCATTGCCTGGGCAAGCTTATGAGCTTTGTTTGTTTTTAATGTCTCTAATCAGATGTTTCCAAAACTTCTTAAAACGCACAGGAAAAGTAACAGATAAATACTAATAACAGCAGCGCAATTCTACAGTGGCTACAAGTGCAAGGAAGCCTTTGTTCCCGGCTCAGCAGAAAGCCAGATCTATGTGAGAACTCTGGCAAGTGGTTCTTGAGCAAGAATATGGCCTTTGTTTGGCCGTTCATGGGATCTCTGGACCACCAGTTCAGTGCTGTATTCCTTACCTGCCAACAAACAGCCTGCCCCAAGGCTGAACTTTCCTTTGCAATTCCAGAGGGCTTCTCAGACATCCTTTCATGCTGACACAAAGCAGGTAACAGAAGATGGCCAATAAACCCAAAGAAAACAGAAATGCCATTCCAGCTGAACAGATGGTTTTAGGGAACGCATGCCGAAAAGAGACCCCGAAGATGCTCCTCTCTGCTTTGGTTTG